ACCAGTCAGGTAACATCGCCAAACTTTGAACGCGTGCACGATCGCTAGCATCTCGCGGTCGTGTATCGGGTAGTTACGTTCGGGCGGGTGTAACTTGCGGGACTCGTACGCGATTGGCTGGAGGCCATTCCCGAAATCCTGCAACAGTACTGCTCCCACAGCGATGTCACTTGCGTCGGTGACGAGCTCGAACGGACGGTGGGGATCTGCAATGTGAAGGACGGGCGGGGAGCACAAAATATTTTTGAGGGCCGAGAAGGCAGCTTGCTCTTTCTCCCCCCACGTGTACTCAACCCCCTTCCTCAGCAGGTCAGTCAACGGGGCAGTCAGTTTCGCCATGTCGGGGACGAACCGGCGCACGTAGTTGACGAACCCCAGGAAACTCTGCAACTCGGTCAAGTTGGTCGGCGCGTGCCAAGCCTGAATCGTCGCAATTTTCTTCGGGTCTATTTCCACTCCTGCAGCTGAAATAACATGTCCCAAAAACTCCAGGCGGTCCTGTAAAAACTCACACTTAGATGCTTTGGTCAGTAGGCGGTTCTCACTCAGGATTTTAAAAACTGCTTCGATGTCTTGTAAGTGCTGTGCTCTGTCAGGGCTGTAAATCAGTATGTCGTCCAGATAAACGATGACGCACTTATCTAAAAGCGGGCGGAATGCTTCGTTCATGGTCATTTGGAAAGTGGCGGGGGCGTTGGTCAGTCCGAATGGCATGACGGTGTATTCGAAGGATCCGTAGCGTGTTCGGAATGCGGTTTTAGGGCAGTCGGGTGGGTTGACGCGGATTTGGTGGTAGCCTCCTCGGAGGTCGATTTTCGAGAAAACCCGGGCTGTGCGCAGTTGGTCGATCAGTTCGTCGGCTCGTGGGATGGGGTAACGGGATTTGATGGTAACCCTGTTCAGTGCCCTGTAGTCGATGCACATGCGAAAACCCCCGTCCTTTTTCGGTGTGAACAGTATTGGTGCGGCGAAAGGCGACGAACTAGGGCGAATGAATTCCTTTTCTAGCAGGTAATCGAGCTGCTTCCTTAGTTCGTCTAGTTCAGGTTGGGTCAGTCGGAACTGTCGCTGTACTGTTGGCTGTGCCCCCGGTTCCAGTTCTATCCTGTGATCGTGCGGTCGCTGAGGTGGCAGTCCCGTCGGCAGGTCATCCGGGAAAATGTCACTGTACTGTTGTAACAGTGCCGCCAGGTCACTCGGTACGTCGGTCAGCAGTTTCTGTAAATCGCCTCCCTTGTCTGCTGCCTCGGCTTCCCGAATGTCAACCGCGTACACGTCGGCTCCGGCCGCAACAGCGCGTTTCATCGTGATCGCGTTGACACGCACCGACGAAGACTCAGGCGAGCCCCAGCGAGGTAAGGCGATGCTGTTACCGTTCACTCGCACGGTGCAGTCACCCGTCGTCCAGTCAATTCGCGGGTTGTGTCGTCGCAGCCAATCACGCCCGAGTAAAATGTCGGTTCCGTCGAGGGTCGTTGCGAGCATTTCCTGACTAAACGTGAAGTTACCCCCGCATCGAATCCGAACTCGGTCTACGCGTTCCCGTATTGCCAGCGGCGTGCCGTCTACCAGTCGTGCGTCGATCTCAGGTAAGCATCGGTCCAGTGGCAGTCGCAGTTTTCGTGCTGTAGCAGTGTTAATGAGGCTGTGGCTGGCTCCCCCATCTACGAAGATTTTAACTAAGTCCGTCCCAATTTTCCCACTGAGCAGTATAGGGCTATCTACCGTGGTACCCTCCTTATTCGGCCGGGTGTGGTCGATTGCGTGAACCGGCACAATCACTCGGTGAGGGTCGGTTGGGTCGGGCGAGCGGCGTGACCTGTCAGTAGAGGGCCCGTCTGCTACTGACTTCCAGCGTTTCCCTGCTGCTTGGTCTGTTTCTGCTGCTCAGCTTCCCCCTTTCCCTTAGCGTTTTCCGGGCATTCGCTCTTGCGATGTCCCGGCCGATTGCACGCAAAGCAGCGCCCTTTGAACGGTGCGGCAGCGGCATTTGCGGCGACGGCGCGTATCGTGGCGCTCTCGTTCGTCCCACGAGGCCGATGTCCCCAGGTGTTGTTTCCGTAGGACCCCGGTCTCGGTCGGCGAAAAAAGTCGAGCTTCTCCGCCATAGCGAGAATTTCCTGAAACTCAGTGACGCCGCGAAGCTGGATTTCCTGAGCGATGTCCTGCTTCAGGCCGCCGATGTAGCGGTCGATGCGTTCGCTCTCATGCATGTAGCCCACCTGCTCGCATAGCGCCAGAAATCCGCTCGTGTAATCCTGGACGGAACCGAGTTGGCGCCAAGTGCGGAGCTTCTGTCGCGCCGAGATCGAGGCCGCGATTGGCTCAAATCGAGCGCGCAGACCTGCGCACCACGCGTCCCACGTGCGATACTGGGGCACCTCCACGAAATACGACGGCGCCCAGGGTCCGGTTTGTCCTTCCCGTGTCGGTAGTGTCGCGTAGTCGGTCGGCTTCGTGACGATGACGCGCCACCAGTCCATGGCGGGTCCTCGCAGCAACGACACGGCGTATCGAATCTTCGCCGAGTCCTCCGAGACGTAGTTGGCGTCGAAGAAAACATTCATTGTGAATAACCACGCCTGAACGGTAGGACCACCCCGTTGACTCGGGTCAAAGCATGGCGGGCGCTGCGGTTTCAGCGGCATCGGTGACGGCAGTCCCGAATCGTGGGTTGGTGCCGAAATCGTGACGCGAGGCTGACTTGGGGCCGCAGGCGTCGCTCTGGGGTGTGTCGTGCCGTGGTCGTCGTCTCCGTCGGGGCGGACGACGCCATCACTGGCCGCGCTCGCGGGTTGCCCCATACTCCCGTGTTGTGATGTTGAGGGTGCAGGTTGAATCGGAGTGCCAGGTGCTTGGGATTGTGCTCTCATGAGGTCATTTTGCAGTGATGAGCGTTCTGCCGTCAATGCCGCGATTTCCTCGGAGCTTTCGTGCAGTTGTCGCAGCAGATCGTTCAAACGCTCCTGCGTGAGAGTGGTGACGTCGATGTTTTCGGCCATGACGAAGGGCGTCGGCTCGTCTTAGTCTAGGCGCAGTCGTGGCTGCACGCGTTTACGAGAGAACGCGAGGACAGCGGCTCCTAGGGGCTAAGGTGCGTGAGTCCCTTCGAGTGAAAAATCAAAAGTTGATTTCCTGGTGTGCGGAGATGCGCGGTCCGAAAGAAAGGGGCTCTGATACCAAGTGTTACGGGTGCAATGAATCGAGGTAGCGAGAATTGCACTAAGGTGTCAAACGAGTACAAAATGTGAGCGAAGGCATGAGCGAGCATTTATACGCGAAACATGCAAAACGGTAACGCGGTGCGTGCGAACTTGCTAGTGCTACGCTGGAGCGAGGCTCGGGCTAGTCCCGAAGCGTAGGCCGATACGGCCATGCCAGCAGTGCGAGGTTTGGCAAAACAGTGCGCGCGAAGTCGGCGAAGTTCCGTTAGCAGTAACGGGCGAACAGTCGGCTGTTGCTGTACGCGATGTAGTCGGCTCCGTAAGGAATGCCTGAGAAAATTCCTTACAGGTATGCATTGCGAAATCTAAACTGAATACCATAGTTCGTTTCCTTACGAAACACTCACAAGACTGTAACACCTATTTGTTTCGGCAATATCTGGTTTCGTGACCAAGTTTCGTCCAACCCACAGATATCTACGTTTCCAGTTCTCACGGAAACACCTGCAGCAACCTGCGCAGGCACCAGAGCCTGAACTGTCGGAACAGCCAATAGACACTCGACATTCAGCGCCACGCATATAAAGCTGTCCTCTTGTCTCTTTCACATGTTTTTTCATAAATTTTGAACAATTTTGCTAACTCCAAATGTAATCTTGTTACATGAATTTTTTTTCCATGACAAAGGTTTGTCTGCCGCTACTTGCGCTCCATCCTGGCGTCTTGCCGAGCAGAACCGAGTCGCAGGCAAAGCCTCAGTCGTTTGCCTTGCCGCCTTTTCAAAATGCTTCTGAATGAGGTCGTATCTCCAGCAAATGTCAAGAAGGGCTTGGTGTCAAGCGCTGTTAACGGTTGACACCAAGTGGAGCCGCGTGTGAGCGCGGCTCCAGCCTGGTGTCAATGTTGGGCACATTGGACGATTTCCCGCGATCACATTGGTTGGTTTAGCTGACACCAGGAGGGATAGTCCTCCATGTGTTTTACGAGTTGGTGTTATGACACCAGCCCTTGCTGGAGATACAACCTAGGGCTTTGAGGAGGACGACGAGGGGGATGTGCATGACAGGAGGACTGAGGGAGAGGGGGGGGGGGGGGGGGGGGGGGTGGGGGGAGGGGGTGGGGGGGGGGGGTGGGATGTGCACAAGTTGACAAAAAAGCTGCTCCATTTCAATTTCCGCGAATGACCAGTTCGGAAGAACGTACACGAGAGAGCCACGAGTAAGCAAGCAGCTTCATCTCTTCCCTTCCCCATTCGCCACCCGCCCTTCTCCTGCACTTCCTTCGAAAGTTTCACCAGGAGCTGCCTAACGACTGTGTTCATGACGAGCTCAGGTTTATGATAACGAACACGACATACTACTAGTAAAGCAGGGGATTGCATTTCAAACTCTGAGCGCGTCGTGATAGTCCGTCCAGGCGATCTAATACTGTATTTCTAGGCGTCTCGAAATACCCAGCTCTAATTTTCTTCGGCGCCGCATAAATTGCCTCGTCTGGTTGGTCGAAGACTATCCGACTTTCTGAGTCGGTCTAAAAGTCACCTCCGCTGAGGGGTCCGCGGCGTCGACTGTCACCGTGACGTCCCAAAAGGGGCTTTTTGACCGTTGCTGCTCGGATCATCGAGAGCACCGCGCCTCGAAATTAGAGCAGCGTGCCTTGAGGTTATAGCAGCGTGCCTCGAGATTGGAGCAGCGTGCCTCGAGATTGGAGCAGCGTGCCTCGAGATTGGAGCAGCTTGCCTCGAGATTAGAGCAGCGCGCCTCGAGATTAGAGTAGCGTGCATCGAGACTAGACAGGCCGAACCAAAGCCCCTTTTCTGTGCGCACAGTCGCCGCCATGCGCATCCTCGGTGACTTTTGTTACGCGCACGGGGCGGCGGCTCAGCAGCCATGCGATTCTCTATCGAATCCAACCTTACCACGCGCCGCCGCGCGCGGAGGGAGACTTCTCTCTTCTGAGCGGCGTCGCCGTTCAACATCCAGAAGTAGAGACTTCTTCGCGTCCCGACAGGCGTGCTACGCGGTGATCGTGCTTCTCGCCGCGCTGCTCGCGAGTGGCGGCGTCGCTGTCGCAGGTCAGTCATGCACCGGGGCCCGTCCCTTCAACCCTCCTTGCCTTCCGATTTTCCCCTTGCCCGAACGCGACTCGCGCATGCTAAGCAACAGTCTCCCCGGCCCCTCCCTCCCTTCCACTTTCCACCCCGTCCTCCGTCCTTTCGATGCGGAATTTGAGTTGATAAAAAAGTCCAGTCGCCCTTTCCATCCGATGATTCGTGTTTATCATCAAAGCAGCTACCTCCAAGTCCATCCCTCCCTCTCCTTCCCGTCCGAGGCGACTCTTTGTCAACTCACAAGTGCCATTGGCGCCACTCTCGGCATCTAGGCTATTAAAATAGAAATCAAATCCCGTCTCTCTCTCTCTCTCCTTTGTCCCTTGTTCTTCCTCCCTCCCTTCCGTTACTCTCCCTGCCCTTCCCCCTCCCCTTCCCTAATCCCTCTCCCTTCCCGCTCCCCCGTTCCTCGTCTTTCCCCCGTCTGCTCCGGCGGTCCCTTTTTACATCAAGCAGCCCCTCGAAAGCAGTCCCTTTCTACATGTCTAGCGCTATCCATGCGGCGCGAATCTCGCGGTGGCCTCGGTGGCTCCCAAGTACGCGAACCGGTTCTTTCGGCTGATCAGCAGCCTCTTCGACGCGTCGACGGGGAACGTCCTTCCCCCTCCCTTCCGTTACTCTTGTTTTGAGGCGCCTCAAAACTAGACTTCCCCCTCCCTTCCGTACTCTCCCTTTCCCCTCCCCTCCCCTACTCACTCTCCCTTCCCCCTCCCCCTTTCTCGTCTCTCCCCCGTCTGTCCCGGTCCCTTGACAATATCATCTGAATAGCCCCTCGAAAGGGATCACCCCCTCGTAAGGGATCAGCCCCGAGCTACCGATGCAGCGCGAATCCCGCGGTGGCCTCGGCGACGCCCAAGTACGCGAACCGGTTCTTCCGGCTGATCAGCACCCTCTTCGACGCGTCGACGGGGAATGTCATAACGGAAATCCTTACCAACGGTCGCAACTGGGTGGAGGACCCGCGCCTCGAGCCCGTTCTTGCGCTGCGCTCCGAAGGCAAATGCAGTAAGTGTGGCGCCACGGTGCCCGTTCATGCATGTGTTTTTTTTTTCAAGAATGTCTGCGAGGGAAATGCCTGTGAAACAAGTGCGAGATGCACCGTTCTCGCGCTGCGCTCCGAAGGCAAATGCAGTGAGTGTGCCGCGCGGCGGCTTGATGGTTTTCGAGAGTTTATCGAAAGGCAAATGCACGTGGCATGCGCGCGAGATGGCGGGGAATGGACACGCACTGACTCGCTCTGTGTAACGCCTGTGGGACTTACACGTAAGGGTATGAGAGCATCCGCTGCGCCTCAAATACAACCCTCGTTTTGACCCAGTGGGTAGCGAGGTGTTACACTCTGGCACGCGCTGGCTCGCGATGGCACGCGCTGGCTCGCGCCAGCGAGCACACGCAGAGCGCAACGCCATCACGTGGGCGGATGCGCATGTGCTGGCGGGGAGACCCGGGGAAAAGGAGAGGGGGAGGGCCGGCGCCGAGTTGGTGGGATTCGGGGGGGAGAGGGGAGCCCAGCGAGGATTATTTCCCGGCCACGGTGGTGGTACTAGTGCTCTGGTGTTACTCACCCTTCATTCATACTCGACCTTATTTATCCCACAGAAAAAGCATTTCTCAGCCCTTCTCCACTTTCCCTCTTCTCGTCCACCTCCCCCTCACCTCCGCCCCTTCCTCCCCCCTCCCCTCCGCCCCTTTCTCCCCCTCTCCTCCGCCCCTTCCTCTCCCACCCCCCCCTCGTCCACCCCCCAGAGGCATCATGGGCAATCACAGCAGTGAGCGCGGTGGAAATGGCATACGCGTTAGTGGCTTCCTCAACGCCCTCCATGGATCCCCCCCAGCGCCTATCAGTACAGCAGGTGTGGAATCTAACGGCGTGTCACCTAGGGGCTGGGAAGCCCAAATCCAAACATGCACATCTATTTCACTGTACGGACAGAATCCCATCTAGCTCCGAACACAAATTCGAACAGCGTGGTGAATGTGACAACTGTGCACTTCAGGTGACACCTTGTTCGGACAGGCGACGTCGCCTAGAATCAAGCGACGCGACGAGGCGTCGTAATCGTCGCTTGAGGGTTCGTCAGCCACTGCGAACACTATCCGATGCACTGCAACAGTCACAGACTAGAAACACATTCATGCGGGAGTGAGCGGGGTGGTGACCAATCACATGTGTCATCTGGGGTGATGACCAATCACATGTGTCGTCTGGGGTGATGACCAATCACATGTGTCGTCTGGGGTGGTGAACAGTGCTGTTCGAACACACAATGTGACAAGCAAATTGCCAGATGTGACAGCTCTGTTCGGTTGGGCGAAACTTTTGACTTGCGACATCATGAAAGCCCCTTTGAGAGGTGGCGAAGCTTATAACATTTCGTCCGTTCGAATAAGAGGCTTGTTCGGATTTCGAGGCGACATGCCCTAAGCTGCTACCCAAGCGCGGGCTTTAAATTGCGCAGTTACACAATGCAGTGGGGGAAGGGGGGGAAGGGTGGGGAGGAGGGGGGGGGTGCTCTCATTGCGGCAGCTCTGTGCTCTACTTCCGCCCCATCCCAGTCCCCTTGGCTTCTGCCCCGCCAACTCGCACCAGCAGCTCCGGCCGCACCGCACCCCTTCCGCGCTTCACTCACCCCCCTCCCCTCTGTCGTTTCCCGGCCCCCAAATCCCGCAGGTGCTGGAATGCAGGAACAGCACGAGCAGCAGCTGTGCGGCGGGCGGATGGCCGACGGCAGCGCTGGACTTCATGGTGGACGCCACAATGACGTGGGGGGGGCTCGCCTGCGAGGCTGGGTACGCGTACACGCAGAAGGACGGCAAATGCAACCGCAACAAGGTACGCCTGGGGGGTGGTCTGCCTGGGGGAGGTTCGCCGGGGGGTGGTCTGCCTGGGGGAGGTTCGCCGGGGGGTGGTCTGCCTGGGGGAGGTTCGCCGGGGGGTGGTCTGCCTGGGGGAGGTTTGTCGGGGGGTGGTCTGCCTGGTGGAGGTTTGCCTGGGGGAGGACGCATGGGGGAGTTTCGCCTGGGAGAGGGTGCACTCAGGATCGGTGACTTGCCCATGTATAGGACTCATATGCCTTGGTGCCCCTGCGATTGTGCCCTGACCTTTTACGGAGAGTCACTTTACAACGGTGGGAGCTGGGTGAAGACATGGGTGGTACGAGTGATTGTAGCAACTTTGCGTGTGTTCTCACTATTTGCGCGTTCACAGGACAACTTGGCAAGAGTTTCACTAACAAAACGAGTATACAAAATGATCAAAACTGCCATGGCAAAATGACTACATCTTGGATCCAGCAGCCTAGCGACCAGGCAGGTCGACCTCCAACTCAGCAACGGGGCGACCTGCCAGCAGAGCAGGTCGACGGTCTGCCAACGCAGCTGGGAGGTGGCTTGCCAACTCTGCAAGTCGATGACCTGCCAACGCTGCAGCAAGGCAGCCCACTGGCGTTGCAACCGTAGATAACTATGGCGCACACACACACCCACTTCGTAGGTGCTTGTACCTCTCGACCTGTTCGACACTGCTCCATTGAACAGCACTCCTCGACGGGCTCGTCGACCAGCGCCCCTACCACAGACTTTTGAGTCGACTCAAAAGTCACTCCTCGACGGGCTCGTCGACCAGCGCCCCTACCGCAGAGTCAGCTTCGCCCAAGCGAGGGCGCGGCCAACTCCGGTCAACACCTTGCACCCCTACCATTGTGCTCATACCCCCGCGCCTGTGCGCCCATGCCCTGCGCGCAACCCTGCGCCCGTGCCCCTGCGCCCATGCCCCTGCAACCATACCCCTGCGCCCATGCCCCTGCACCCATGACCCTGCACCCCTGCCCATGCGCCTGTGCCCATGTGCCTGTGCCCTGTCTCTCCCCCCCCCCCCCCCCCCCAGGCGAAGCAGCAGGCGACGGCCATAGGCATCACGGGGTACGACCAGGTGGACTACTACGGCTGGCTTGGCCTGATGCTCGCTGTTTACGTGAGTCTGTGTGCCGAAACTGGTTACCATTGGCTTTGTTACTCACGAGTTCACAGAGAAAACGCCATGCTCCTCGTTGTCAATGTCCCATTCCTCATCTCCCCTTCTCTCCTCCCTTCTCCTCTCTTTCCCTTCCCTCCCTTCCCCCTCCCCTCTCCTTTCCCCTCCTTCCTTCCTTGCCCACTCCCCTCCGCCCCATCGCCTCTCTGCTGCAGGCTCAGCCCACCATTGCATTCGTGCGAGGCTCCTACCCCTCCTTCCAGACATACACAGATGTAAGGGCAGCAGTGCCTTGGTCTATGTTACTCCTTACAGACATACACAGATGTAAGGGCAACAGTGCCTTGGTCTATGTTACCTCCTTCCAGACATACACAGATGTAAGGGCAACAGTGCCTTGGTGTATGTTACTCCTTCCAGAAATACACAGATGTAAGGGCAACAGTGCCTTGGTCTATGTTACCTCCTTCCAGACATACACAGATGTAAGGGCAACAGTGCCTTGGTGTATGTTACTCCTTCCAGACATACACAGATGTAAGGGCAACAGTGCCTTGGTGTATGTTACTCCTTCCAGACATGCACAGATGTAAGGGCAACAGTGCCTTGGTGTATGTTACTCCTTCCAGACATGCACAGATGTAAGGGCAACAGTGCCTTGGTGTATGTAAGTCGATGTAAGGGCTCCTATCCCTCCTTCCAGTTGCACAAGGAGGCACGGGAAACACAGTGCTGGTGTACTTTTAGCTTGACTCAAAGGCTCTTATTCCACGTTACAAGCCTCCACAGAGGTACAGACAAGAAACAGTTGTTTGGTGTATGTTAAGTCAAGTTGAGTAATTTTCTTTGAAACAACCTGTCACCCCCCTCAACCTTTCCCTTTCCTGCCACCCCGCCTTCCATCTCCCACTCCCCCTCAGGGCATATACAGCGATGCAGGGTGTGCAGCAGCGGGAGCGGTGGATCACAGCGTGATTGTGATGGGGTCTGTTCATCCTTCCCCTTATCCCTCCAAACCTGCTTCCCTCCCCTTCTCTTCCCCCTCCACCTCTCTTCCACATCCCTCACCCCCTTCCACAGGGCATATACAGCGACCCAGGGTGCGCAGCAGCGGGGGTGGAGGATCACAGTGTGGTGGTGATGGGATAGTGTGAGAGGTAACATGAATAACACTCTCCTCATCCTTCCCCTTCCCAACCTTTCCACCTCTCCTCCCCCCAGGGCATATACAACGACCCAGGGTGTGCAGCAGCGGGGGTGGTGAATTACAGCATGCTGGGGATGGGCTACAGCATCACATCTTCGCAGGGCGCCTATTCATCGTGGTGTTATCTCACCTCACGTGCCATGCCACTCATTGCACTTCCGTCACCCTCTCCTTTCCCCCCCACTGCTCACCTCTCAGGGCATATACAGCGACCCAGGGTGTGAAGCGGAGGGGGTGGAGGATCACAGTGTGGTGGTGATGGGGTGGTGCGAGAGGTACATTTGAGTCGACTAAAAAATGGGGTGGTGTACGAGGTACCACGCATGGCACTCTTCTCATCCTTCGCCTTCCCAACCTCTCCACCTTTCCTCCCCCCAGGGCTTATACTATGACCAGGGGTGTGCAGCGGCAGGAGTGGTGGATCACAGCGTGGTGGTGATGGGCTACAGCATCTCCGCGGTGGAGGGCGCCTACTGGATCCTCCGCAACTCCTGGGGGGCTGGCTGGGGCATGCAGGTGGGATGAATAAACTGCATGCTTTGCGTCACACGCTGCTGCTCCACTGGTGATGTGATGGGGTACAGCCAGACAGCATCACGCCGTCGCAGGGCGCCCCTAGTGGATCCTCCGCAACTCCTGGGGGGCTACCTGCAATAGAATTCTACGATCGCTCTCTGCCTGCGTTCTTGCTCTCTGCCTGCATTCTCATTCTCTGCCTGCATTCTCATTCTCTGCCTGCATTCTCGCTCTCTGCCTGCAGGGATACATGAAGATGTCATTTGAGGGAGGCGTTGGCATCTGTGGCATTCACTCAGTGCCGGCCCTCTACCCCATCATCCAGAGTGAGTGGACATCTTCGCTACTATGCACTGCACTCACCCACTCGCGCATGCACACACACACGCACACACACCCACACACCCACACACACCCACATACACCCACACACACACACACACACCCACATACACCCACATACACCCACACACACACACCCACCCACACACACATACACATACACATACACAAACACACACACACACACACTCGCAAACACACACACAAATGCACACACAGACACAGATACAGACACACAAACACACACACACAAGCACACACACACACACACACGCACACACACACACACACACACACACACACACACACACACACACACACACACACACACCCCAAGCACAATGACACACAAAGATTTTTTTCAGTGGTTGCGCATTGACAGTCCCGCTATTCTCTGTCTCTTGGCTTGCTGCAGACCTCCTCCCTGCTCCCTCCTCTCTCCTCTCTCCCCATTCCTCCCTCCCCGTCCCCCCTCTCTCTCTCCCATTACCCATACCACACTCACAGCCCTTGCCATGCCAGTCACCGCAGAACCCATGTGGGGGAGGACAGTGCGAGGCGGGCAAGGGTCCCTACTATGCATGCACATGCCTGCATATCGCTCTTTGAAGGCGCCTCACAAGTCCTCTGCCCCCTGCGCCCTCCCCCCGCACCAGCGCCCTTGCCATGCCAGTCACCGCAGAACCCATGTGGGGGAGGCCAGTGCGAGGCGGGCATGGGTAGCTACTATGGATGCGTGTGTCTGGATCCCATTTTCATTCCCGTTGCCGACAAGGGCGGCGCGCAGACGTGTGCGTATGGTGAGTGCCTCACAAAGGAGATTGACTTGTTGCGGAGGCAGGGGAGGGGAGACAGGTAGGGGGTGGCTACTACACGTGCACGTGTCTGGGTCCCATTTTCATTCCCGTTGCCGACAAGGGCGCCGCCCAGACGTGTGTGTTAATGAGTGCCGCCCAGACGTGTGTGTTTGTGAGTGCCGCCCAAACGTGTGTGTTTGTGAGTGCCGCCCAAACGTGTGTGTTTGTGAGTGCCGCCCAAACATGTGTGTTTGTGAGTGCCGCCCAAACGTGTGTGTTTGTGAGTGCTGCCCAAATGTGTGTGTTTGGTGAGTGCCTCACAAACGCCCTGTAAACAAGAATGAAGCTCACACTACTTTTCCCCACTTGCTGTGCCGTCATCATCTTTCCTCCCGTCCCACCATCTTCTTTCCTCCCGTCCCACCATCTTCTTTCCTCCCGTCCCACCATCTTCACCCCACTTCCCTCCCGTCCCCTCCTGCCATTCCTGTTGGCTAAATGCACAAGTAATAAAAACTCCCCCTCCCTCCCTCCCTCCCTCTCCCTCATCCCCCACCACCCCTCCCTCCTCTTTCCTCCCCACCTAATAAAAACTCTCCTTGCGACTCTTCCCCTCCCCCTGCACCTCTTCCCCTCCCATTCTCCCTCTTCCCTTATCTCTGTCCTTCTTCCTCTCCCAATGTCCCTCTTCCCTTATCTCTGTCCCTCTTCCTCTCCCAATGTCCCTCTTCCCCTTCCCCTGCACCTCTTCCCCTCCCCTTGCCCCTCCGCCCACTCGCCCCCTGCCAGCTGACGTGTGCAGCCAATCGAAACACCCCCTCCCTCCCTCTGCCTCCCCCACTACCTCCTCTTCCTTCCCCTCTCCTTCCCCTCTCCTTCCCCCCCTACCTCCCCCACTCGCCCCCTGCCAGCCGACGTGTGCAGCCAGCAGGACGAAAACCCATGTGCGGTCGGCACGTGCATCAACGACAATGCGGGCGGCTTCTTTTGTCTCTGTCCGCCGGGATTCGACCAGGGTTACCGCCCCAATGGCGCTCACACATGCGTCCCATGTAGGTGTTCAAGCGGGCGGCTACTCTTGTCTTTTGGAACCCATGTTCTCACATGTGTCCAAGTATGTGTTCAAGTGGGTGGCTTCTCTTGTCTTTTTTTAGATTCATGTTTTTCAAGGAGCCACAGCAAATCATATCTATCCCATCCCATACATGCATAGCTTACTTCTGAACCTTCACTGCATCTTCCTGTCTCGTGTGTTCTTCTCGATTCTCAATTGCCGCTCCTCCTCTTTCTCGCCTCTCCTCCCCTCTACTTCTCGCCTCTCGTCTTAATCTCCCCTCTCCTCCTCTTCATCTCGCCTCTCCTCCTCTTCATCTCGCCTCTCCTCCTCTTCATCTCGCCTCTCCTCCTCTTCATCTCGCCTCTCCTCCTCTTCATCTCGCCTCTCCTCCTCTTCATCTCGCCTCTCCTCTCATCGTGCCTCTCCGCTTCTTGCTTCTCACTCACCTAATCACACTACTTCGGCCCTCGTGGCCCTCTTCCCCTCCCTCCCTCCCCCGCTCCACCTGCTTCTCTCCATTCCCAAACACCTCCACCACCCATTTTCAGTCCACTGAAAAAGTCCTTTTCTTTTATTTTCTTTTCTTTTCTTTTCTCTTTTCTTTCTGCCCCCCCGGCATTCCTACAGCCACCACCCCTGCCTGCTCCATCGCCTTTCTGATTCACATCAACTGCCCGCTCGTTTTCCCCCTCTCAGATGACTGATAAGTCGACTCAAAAGTCATCTCACCCACCACCCGCCTGCTCCATCGCCTTCCTGATTCACATTGACTGCCTGCTCGTTTTCCCCATCTCCCCATCTCCACCCCCCCCCCCCGTCTTTTCCCCTCCTAACCTTACGTCCCTGCAGCCACCCCCCCCTACACATACACCGTCGTCTTCCCAATAGACATCGACTGTCCGCTCGTCTACCAGCTCTACGGCCTCACAGAGGAGGCGTTTCTCGCTCAGAACCTGCAGCTGGTGAGGTCTTGCCTTGCCCGTTCGCCCTCTGTTGTCACTCCTAGACCCCTTCAATGTGCCCCAACCCTTTCATCCACCCTTTGAGCTGCCAGCCTCTTGCTTCACCCCTTCATCCGCTCGACTACCAGCTCTACGGCCTCAGGGAGGAGGCCCTTGTCGCCCATAACCTGAACCTGGCGAGCCGCTCCCTTTGACCACAGGGCATGGCTTTTGAGGCGCCTCAACCCACCGATCTCACACCTCCCACCCACCCACCCACCCACACCCCACCACACCCACCCCGCCCCACTCCACCCCATTCTACCCACAGGGCGTGGATCACTGCGAGACCATCCCGGCCAACACGGCAGTGACTGTGGCGCCGCCCCTCATGGGGGCGGTGCACTGTGTGCTCTACTACTCGTGGACGGCAACTGACACGTGCCAGAGCGTGGCCGACAATTTCTGGCTCACAGTCGACGATCTGGTGACGCTCAACCCGGGGATCAACTGCACTGATTGCACCGCCTGGAATGCTCCGACCGTGAACCAGCAGGTGAGATGTGGTGTAGTACAGTGCAGTGCGGTGCGGTGTGGTGCAGCTCGGTGCAGTGCGGTGCGGTGCTCGATGGTATGGCGGGCATGTGTTGGCTCACAGTGGACGACCTGGTGACGCTCAACCCTGATATCAATTGCACAGGTAGCACCGCCTGGAACGCTCCGACTGTGAACTAGCAGATGAGGTGCATTGCAGTTTAGTGCAGTTTGGTGCAGTGCCGGTGCTTAAAAGTGTGGCGACCTGGCTGACGCTGAAGTAGGTGCATGGTGCAGGCAGGGGACACATTCAAAGCATCATGCCGTTCACTCCCGTCACGCCCCTTCTTTCTCCCCTCCCTTCTCCCCCACTTATTGCCTCTGTCCACGCAGCTGTGTGTGGCGAAGGGCAGCGGGGGAGGGGACGTGCCAAAGCTGCCCATGTGCACTAGTTGGTACACGGTGCAGTCGGGGGACACATGTCAAAGCATCATGGCAGATTTCTCTCTCAACCAAACCGCCTTCTTCTCCCTCAACCCGGGCGTGGGCTGTGACAGCCTCTTCGCGTCTGTTGGGGGCAGCACCTTCGGCTGGAGTGGGGGTGGTGTGCAGGTGGGTTGCGGGGAGACAGGTGAGGGGTGGGATGCGGTGGCGTGCGGCTGGAGTGGGGGTGGCGTGTAGCCTCTTATTTCAGAACAATACCCTCCACGCTCATCTTTTCCCCATTTTCCACCTGCACTCCGCACACATGAATCTCTGTCTGTCTTGTGTGTGGATGCATGCCTCACGAATGCACTTGTGAGAATTCTCGGATATATACATCCCTCTCTCACTTGTGTATGCATGCATACCTCACAACAACACACCACATCCATTGCCCTCATTCTCACATCGCTCCTAACACACATTCCACCACATCTCGCCCCACGATATAACACACCCCACCCATCCCCATCGCAGGTGTGTGTGGATGCATACCTGGTTGATGCCCGGGGCTCGTTCAATCCACTCACCCATCTCACCCATCCATCCCCATCCCCATCGCAGGTGTGTGTGGATGCATACCTGGTGGATGCCCGGGGCTCATTCACCCCTCGCTCCCTCCAAGAGCACTTCTCCACTTCCCCGCTCCTCCCCTCCACCCCATCTCTCTCCTCTCAGTCCTCCTCCTTTTCCTCCTCTTCCTCCTCTTCCTCCTCTTCCTCCTCCTCATCCTCTCCCTTGTCCTTCTCAACACGAGGAAGACTGCTCGGCCTTAGCACCTCCTCCCACCCATCACCTTCCTCCCTGCCTCGCCTCCCACCCATCATCCCGTCTCACTCCGCCCAACCAATGAGAGGCCGCCAGCTGGCGGTGTCCAAGCGGCGGTGCCTGGCGTTCTACTCGGTGACGAGGGGGGACTTCTGTGCGCGCATCATATCGCTCAAGTTCCAGAACAGTGCGAGGAAACTGGCAGAGTTGAACAACGGATATGTGTGTACGAATGATAGGCTCTACGTGGGGCTGAGCCTGTGCACGCGGAGGTAGCAGACAGGGTAGTGGTTGTTTTTTGAGAATTCTCAAAAAACACACGCAGAGGTAGCAGGCAGGGTAGTGGTTGGGGACGAAGCGCGAGATGGTGGAGCTCAACAATGGATATGTGTGTACCGACGATAGGCTCTACGTGGGGCTGAGCCTGTGCACGCGCCGACAGAAGTGCCTTTCATGTGAAGCTGGCGGAGTTGAACAACGGATACGTGTGCAACAACGGTAGGCTGTACGTGGGGTTGTCCCTTTGAACACGGAGGTAGGAGCTAGTGAGTTCTTTCGAGGTGCCTCGAAAGTTTGTGTGCGTGCTGGTTGGTTGAGATCGTGCCAGAATTGGCATGCCCTTCCTTGTGTGAAGCCTGGGGGTTGTGTTGTGTTGGCATGTCTGCTTGGAGTGCAAACAGAAGATACGTTTTTGCATCTCTCACTGGTTATTCCAAGCGCATTTACGGTAGTGGGGAGGGGATATTTCCACCAAGTTGCTGCAGCCCAGGCCGCTGGCTGGCATATTTCTGTACACGCATTAGCTGGCCACACGCACAGTATTGGAACGCTTCAATTGAGTACGTGTTATACCTTATGTACTCTACATTTGTAATATGCATATTTTATTGCCATAACGAGCAGTTCTGCTGTGGCCTATTGTGGCGCTTGCGTTTATGGCCATTTAGAGAGTTTCTGGTTGCCTCAGCGCAGCGGAGTGGATTGGTAGGGCCATGTTGGCTGCACAGGTGTACCTTGGTACTTACCTGTAGTACTTGAGTTGAGGCATGCATGGTATGGTGATGGTAGAAGAAAGCAATCATACTGAAATGCATTGACACCTACAAGAATGACCTCATCTCACCGTAGAAAAAACTGTCATGTCGTGACATGACGTGACGACTCTAAAAAGACATCTCACTTTGCCGTGGCACACCATGTCCAAGCCATGTGTCCTCAGGGGACGCCTCCCATGAAGGAGTTGCAGCCCACAAGTCGCCTGGCTCCAAAAGAAACACACACACACCACACCCATGTCACGCCATGTCCAAGCCATGTGTCCTCAGGGGATGCCTCCCCTGAAGGAGTTGCAGCACACCCACTCCCAAACCTGGGTCCAAGAGAAACACCACAGCACACCCATACCCAAACCTGGGTAAAAGAGAAAGACCACAGCACACCCATATCCATACCTGGCTCATGAGAAACACCACAGCACACCGATACCCATACCTGGCTCATGAGAAACACCACAGCACACCCACACCCATACCTGGCTCATGAGAAACACCACAGCACACCCATACCCATACCTGATTTATGAGAAACACCACAGCACACCCACACCCATACCTGGCTCATGAGAAACACCACAGCACACCCACACCCATACCTGGTTTATGAGAAACACCACAGCACACCCACACCCATACACAGTACCACATGCTTGTGACAAGTTGCAAGCTCATATCATCTAGAACCAAGTGAAGAGTGTACTCGGGTCATCTCTCATGAAGGAAACTTCTGAGTTGACTCAAGGTGACTTTCAACTTTTGAGTCGACTCAAGGTGACTATTGGCTTTTGTGTCGACTCAAAGGGTCCGAGTGGAGTGTGTACCAGGGTCATCTCTTATGAAGGAGATGAAGGCACAGGTGGCCGGACCGGGCCAAAAGAGCAACACGACCACACCCACCATGCTCATCATGCCCGTGTAGGACCTGCTTTTGAGAAGTCGCATATGCAACATTCTAGAAGCAGGCTCGGTGAGAACGAGGAACATACCAGGAGGAGCTGAAGGCACAGGCGGCCGTTCCAGGTCAGAAAAGCAACACCACCACCACATCACATCCACCATTGGGACCGGCCTTTGAGAACCATGAAATGGTATGTGTCGAACCGAAGCCAAGTGTGTAAAAAGGGGAGCATAACCCATCAAGAGTTCAAAGCGGGAAAGAGAGCGGAATAACCTCTTGGGTTAACCCAAAGCTGAGAAACTATAAATACTAAATATGAAATGAATGAATACATAAATACATTAAGTACGCGAAACTGAAGCCCACACCTGGCCTGGCTCAAAAAGCCTTTCCAGAAATTTTAAAAAATGTGCCACATTAGCATAGTTGCCCATTCTTTAGGCGTCTTAATTACAGGCACTACCACTACCATAACAGATTGCTTGCTGGAACAAAACCAGCTGGTGATAACACAATAAGCCACGATGAAGCTTATGATTACGGATGTGAGTGAGAGCCATGACAACCAGGGTTCACCCAACCCCTCTGCCCTCCACACAGCATCTGCTGACTGCAGTCAAGCACGCCGTGGTCAGCATCGCTGCTGCGGTTCTGTGTAGCAGCCGGCCCAAACACCCCTTCCGGACCATCACTCCCTTGAATGCCAACCACACCGTTCCCAATCCCAGAGTCATCCTGCATTAGAAGAAGGTCGTCCAAGCACGCATCTGGAACCGACACATGCATGCACGAGTCCATGGAGCAGCCGCTCATGCTTCCCATAGACATACCATTACTGTCAGCCCTTGAACGTTGACACGCGTCGGTTCGGATACTGCCATTCTGGAAGCTAGAGAGTGCGCCCATGCTCGTCCCCGCACTTGGGAGTGCATGTGTCGTACAACTGGGAATTATCCTCTGGGGCTCTGAACTTGCATGCGGGCCATGCAGAGTTGTGTGGCCTGTGGGAAGGCCAGCTAGCTTGGGAAGACTGTGTATGGGAGTGCTGCTGCTTTTGTAGGGATTGGCGCTGCCTGCATAACCTGCAGTGTACGCAGCTGGCCGCTGCTGCTGCTGCTGCTGCTGCTGCTGCTGCTGCTGCTGCTGCTGGTGCTGCTGCTGATACGGCTCCAACTTCGGATGATGCTGCTGCTCCAGTTGCTGTTGCTGGTAGGACTGCTGCTGCTGATACGGCTCCAGCTTGGGCTGATGCAGCTTCTCCACTTGTTGTTTCTGGTATGCCTGCTGCTGCTGCTGCTGCTGGTGCTGGTGCTGATACGGCTCCAACTTCGGATGATGCTGCTGCTCCAGTTGCTGTTGCTGGTAGAACTGCTGCTGCTGATACGGCTCCAGCTTGGGCTGATGCAGCTTCTCCACTTGTTGTTTCTGGTATGCCTGCTGCTGCTGCTGCTGCTGCTGCTGCTGATGCTCCAGGTGCTGTTGCTGGTAGGACTGCTGCCGCTGCTGCTGCTGTTGTGGCTCCAGCTGATGTTCGTGATAACCCTCCAACTGAAAATGCTGCTGCTGGAAAGAAAGCAGATGGCAGTAACTCTCCCCGTTAGCCACATTCTGCATGTCGCATGGTGCATTCGATTCCACGGCCCATGCCCTACTCATTGGCCAGGAATCCCTGCCACAAGCAGTCGAGGCATCCAAATCAGGGTTGGTGGTGGTTACAGGGGAAGCAGCTTGTATAGGTGGGGTTGACCAAGCGATGAGTGCTGGCGAGCCTCCAGTATTGGGCATGGGTTGACAATCCCAGGTGCTCTCAACCGGCTCACTTTTCCCAGAGAGTTGATGAGAGGTGGGGCATGTGGCGACATAGGCACATGAACTGGAGTCTCCTCTTTGCAACACTCCAGTGTGACAGTCACAAGGCAGCGCCTTGGCAGTAGGCTCTGGAGCATGAGGTTCAACCACGGGTACACCAGCAGTGGTGGTTATCCCATAAGTGGTTCCGCCAGTGGTGGTTATGCCATAAGTGGTTCCGCCAGTGGTGGTTATGTCATAGATGTTCACGCCAGAGGCTGTTATGCCAATGGTGGTTGGAATCTCATAGGAAAGCAAATTTTCCATGCAGGGGAAGATTGAGGGCGCTTGAGACATTTGTTGTTGTTGCTGATGCTGATTCTGGCCTTGATGCTGCTGATGCTGCTGCTGTGGCGGCGGCGGCGGCGGCGGCGAATGATGCTGTTGCTGAAGATGTCGTTGCTGCTGCTGCTGCTGCTGCTGCTGCTGCTGCTGCTGTTGCTGCTGCTGCTGCTGCTGCTGCTGCTGCTGTTGCTGCTGCTGCTGCTGCTGCTGCTGCTGCTGTCGATACTGCTCGTGTTCCTGCTGTTGATAGTAGTTCTGTCGGTGTTGCTTCTGATGCACCTGTGGCTGATGCTGCCACCGATCTGATCCGGGCTGCGGCTGGTGGTATTGCAGAATCTGCTTCTGCTGCTGCTGTCGCTCCTGCTGGTGACCCCAGAGCTCTTGGGAACTTAAGCAGTTAGAAGCATGCCTCTGCTGGTTCCCATCCACAGAGGCTGCTGGATCAAGAAGCATGGGAAGTGCTTGATCTGTCTGTGTGGACATTGCTTTATCGACATGAACGAGTGAAGGTTGAGGAGCGTTTGGCACTTCACAGGCCAAGTGGGAGCATGCAGGGCCTAGCATCGGTGGGAACGGGGATGGATGAGGCAACACGGTGCTACTAGAAGGTTGACACGGCTGAGAAAAGTTATCAGGAGGCAGAACAGGGGCGTTAAAAGGCTGTGCGTGAGCAGCTGATGAAGGGACCCCTTCAATGCTTGGGCCTGTGAACGGGACAGTGGCTTCAGATACCACGGGATGTGCAACACGCTCAGGATGGCTCATTGCAGGAGGGAAGGGCGTGGTGGAAGAGGGCAGTGCAGCTGCAGCAGCAGGAATACAGGCTGTAGCATCAAGGGAAGTATTGGCTATAAAAGGGTGGGAAAGAGAAGCGGGCGCCCAGGTGGTAACAGGTGCACAGGTTGTGAGAGGAGCACAGGACGTAGCAAGAGCTCTTGGTGATGTAGCAGGAGTTGATGATGCAGGCGATGAGTGGCTCAAAGGAGGAGTGAATGAAACAGGATGAGGAAGTGCAGTGGGAGCAGGAGCGCATGATGTAGCGGCAGCAATAGCACAGGTTGGAGCAAACGCGCAGGCTGCAGCTGGACTAGGTGCAACCGGAGCAAGGGTTGTAGCGGAAGCACAGGCGGCAGCAGCAGGGCAGGGGGAAGAGTAGCAAAGAAGCCGGGTTGTAGAAGCATCGGGAGGTGGCGGCGGGTGGTTGTGTGAGCCGTGGTATACCGTCCTCACCACCACACGCATCTCAGTCCTTGGCATCTCCCCTCTTTCAGTCACCTCATCATCATCTCTCAACCCTTCCACTGCAGCTCCAGGCCCCATAGCAGCTGCAGCGGCCACAATGGAATTCAATGCTCTGGTAGTCGAGCCGCCTCTAAATGCGGCCTTTGAGACGGTGCCCAAGCCTTGATGCCTCAGCCCAGCGATGCTGGTTGAGCGGCGCTGCCTCGCGTCTCCAGCCACGCGGTCTTCCGTCTTCTTTGCCTGGCAGCCCGTCGCTTGCTTCGACGCGCACACAAAGTACAGCCTGCAAGCACCAACGGATGTAGCGGCAGGCTATAAGTACTACTACTTCTACTATCACCTACCATGACATATAGAAAATTGTCCTCAAACTGTCCTCAGGGAATCTTTCAGGCCTCTGACTTGAAACCCATCCCGAGTGCCCAGCAGGACTGTTGCATGGCGGGGATTTTGACCCAAATGCATCCCATGGCCGAATAGAGGACGGATTTGTGGGACGGAACTTGTTTCTGGATGGAGCAGATTTATGACACTGCTGTCACCAGAACTTCACGGTAGTACTATTAGGAAGGCACCATCTACAAAATTGCGTGGTCCTCAATCTAATGTGACATTGGTTATTGAAATGCAAGGGTACCCAATGAAGAAGCACCAAGTGTCATCACAAGAACTCACTGGAGCCACTGGCACCAAAGGAGCCACCTGTCTCCCAAGGAGGGTCCTAAATATTAATGGATGACGTTAACTCAACGCAGATATGACACAGTAAGTAGTCCTTAGTAAAGTTATATTAAGGATATTGCTTAGGCAAACTAGCAAATGATGAAGGCTCGCCGAGAAGGACAGGCGGCTTTACCTCTTGATTTGCTGATGGGCCACGATGCGCTTGTGAGAAGTTTTTCTCCATTTGTAACCCTCGTGCTTCCCTTGAGGTTGATTGGCCGCTGCGTGTTGCAGCTGGTCCCGAACCAGGCGATCTTGGCTCGGCCCCATAATGATCTGGGCTGACGAACGTGTTAACTGCACGTGAGCACCATCATGATCTTCATGTGCGTTTCCTGAACTGGATCCTAATACAGCAGCCCAAGACACTGATTCGTCCCTTGACCGAGAATTGATCGAAACATGCTCGTGTTGTAGCTGTTCTTGCCTCTGGAGACTACTACTAGGTTCTACGCTCATTGCGGTTTTCTATGATAGAATATAATTCCAAAACCAAGGGGAAGAGTTAAACTGTATCAGAAGAAACCTCTGAAGTCGGAAAGAGTTGCATGTTCATACAAGGAGTCGGAAGTCTCTTGCATTGCTCGAAATGATGTTGTGCTTTTCGGTACTATCGGCACTACAATCACTGTGAATCATATGCTTTGGTGCAGTTGGGAAGGGGGGAAGGGGTGTGCTATGCCTGGTTGGATGCAGGTAGGCGGGAGAAGGGGATGGTGCTGGGTTGGGGGGTTTCGGGGTGAGTGTCGCTTGCCAAAAAGCCAGCCAGCAACTCAATTCCCGCAGACGCGTCCCAGGTGGAATTGGATGACAGCAACTCGTCCTCGTGCTGTTTATACCCAAAAAGAATCCCAGAAAGGTGGGTGGGGGGAGGAGAGAAGTTGGTGTACAGCTCGGTGGTCCGCATGAGGTCTGAGGAGTCAACACGAACTGCTCATATGAAAACAGCTGCCCGGAAAAAAAACAAACAAAACACCCTCGCGTAACTGGGTTGTGAATTGAAATGATTGTAACGATTACAATTGCAGAATTGTTTGATCCGAGCACGCTACGGTATCCTGCCAACAGTGAACTCAGGCTTTTGTATATTCAGTCTCTGAAGAAGATATGACCAAGGCTCAAATACACTAGAGATAATTGGTTCCACAGAGGATATAAGCTTGAATTGAAATGACAGTGGTTTGGGGGGGCAGAAAAATAATTTAGAATTGCACGCCCCTTCACTGCAAAAGGGGTGCCATAAAATTAGGACGTGGGCTCAATCAACTTTTATCGGCACGGATCTGATCGGGTTGAATTAGATCGGATTGCTTGTGATCGTTTTTTCGCGCCGCTCAATCAGATTTGATTTTCCTCGAATATTCTGCGCTATTGTCTGACAACCGGTAGCCCATTACCTCGTAGTTGTATTCCCATTTTGGCGAGATGGGCAAATCAATGTATCGTGGTAATGTCGCTCTTATCGCACTGCGCACAGGGTCCGCTCCAAAACCTTCGAACCGGTCTGTATGTATGAGCGAGGATTTTCGAGACCTCATGGCGAGGCGTCTTAAATTTCGCTTACGTCGCCTAGGGCCCCGATCACTTGCAATCAAGTGATCGGGGCTGATTGTGTCCGATTGGTTCTGATCGGGCTGTTCGAGGCGGCTGATCAAGTCTGCGCGATCAGCTGATCGCGATCTGCTGATTGCCCCCGATTGCCTGAAATTGGCTTCCCGCCTTCCTCGAAGTTATTGATCGCTTCTGATCGCACCGAGCCAAGTCGATTGAGCCCACGTCCTACAGTGAAGTACCGAAAACAAATCCGAATTTAGGGCCAAACCCACACCCAAACCCACACCTCTCTGCACCCTCAACCCCCAAACACCTCCTTCCCAGCTGCCCTTTCCCAGCAATCCCACAGGTTGGCTACTAGGCACACTCTAGAGTACGGCATCACAACTCGTAGGGTAACACATCGAACTCCCCGTCTACACCCTAATGCTCACTTAACCGCCCACTCTGAACACGCCCACTGCCACTCCATACGCCCAGTGGTCGACACTCACAGCCAACGGCCCGCGCGTTACTAGCCCACGACAAAACCAAGATATTCTTGACCTCGAATAAGTTATTCGAGTTTCCCAGACAAGACACGCTAGGCTACCCAAATACAGTCCCATTCTCCCCATGGGGAGCGCATGCTCGAGAGAGGAGCACAGGGAAAGATGGGGAACGGATCTGAAATAGGCATCAGGTGTACTGCACACATACGTGAGCTGAACTTTATTGGTGTACAGTATTTGATGCCAGCAGTAAAAAGATAGAAACGTATTGACGGGTTGTCGAGAGCAAATACAGCGAAATATTGCTCATCTGATTTTCGGTATAACATCTTTAGCCATTACAGTCTCATCATGGACGGGACGGACAAAATGTTGACATTGCGACAATGTCCACATATGCACCCATGTCAAACAGCAATGCCACCCATCTCCACATAGATGGCGAAAACTGGTGTTATACGTAGCACGGGCTAGGGGTAGTGTCGCAAACACGCAGTGGTGTACTTGCATTTCGTTCATGGCCAAGTTAGTGGTATGGTACCAATTGACAGAATAATCTCTTCAAACGAGTCAAAGTTGTAGCAACGCTTCCCCACAGCTGACCTGTACAGTACCATGAAGGCTGAGGGTGGAAAAGTTCTGCACATTTTGACATTGCTCCTGTGATCATGCACGCGAAGCCACAGTTCGAAGTCAGCAGTGACCTCATTTCGATGGCAGGGAGTCATGGTCATGGAGCACATGTCCAACTCTGGCATGCCAGCCAGTTTGGTTCGACATCAAGTCGCCACAATGGGTGCAGAGGAGTAAGGTACGGCTTTCTAATTAATTACAGTTCAGTAGCAACAAGTGCAGAATTTAATCTGTATGTTGGGTGTGTGGTCACGCTGTAATTGTCGCTGGGGCCTGTCACCTGTGGTTTGATCGTCGCGAAAGATTACGTGCCCGCACAAATTAGGGATGTCGGGTCGAGAGTGCTGAACCGTCAGATTTAGGACCTTCGAAATATCCAACAGTTCCCCCTCCCTCCTCCTTACAAGGCAAAGACGCTACACCGATTAAAGCTGGCCCAGAATGTAAGTTGGCCTAGCTTCAATACAAAAAAACATTACTGACTATAGCATGAAAAGCGAGACACGATCATGTTGAAGTTATTGTAAGGAAAAGTACATATCCTAGACATTAAAATTACATTGATTCGTCTTCGGATTTGTTTTCCCAATCTACGCCAAACCACAGTCTCTTTAAAGCCAGGGTCTCAAGTAAGCTAAGGAGCCGTCAACTGCAAAGCAGTTGACGCTAGGTTACCTAGTTATTGCCGACGAAGTTCTTTCTGGTTGGGTTGAAAAATCAGCTTGCGACACACCCCAGAAGCGATTGCACAACACTTTTGAGTACTTGAGACTTTCGATGTGTTGGGGGCATTTTAGGTTTGGCTCCGAACCAAGTTTCCAAACCTAGAAGGTTCGGGTACACCCAACGATTTGCGTTCACTTCGCACCCCTCGCTTCTCCCCACTTCAAACCTTTCACCTCGCCAACCAATCGCAGCCCAACTTTCACCAGCAACTGCAAAACACTTGTAGTACTTGAGACCCTGGCTTTAAGTCCCGGCCTAGGTTTCTTGCTACCCATTTGCATGACAGACCATTTGAGGCAAAGTAGCTGGTACGTGATAACTTAGGAGGCATTAATGAAGCTTGAATTTAAGGATGTGAGTGAGAACGATGGTTAACCCAGCCCCTCCCCCCCACACACGGCATGTCTTCACTGTACTCCTCAAACACACCGTGGTCGGCGTCACTGCTGCATTTCTGCGAAGCCAGAACAAACATTTTCTCCGGATCATCACTCCCTCGAACGCCAACCTCACCGTCCCCAACCACACTGCCGCCATCCCCACCGTTTCCAACCCCATAATTGCCCGCCACAGTGTCGTCTGGCATCAGGAAAAGGTCATCCAAGCATGCATCTGGATCCGACACATGCAGGCATGAGTCCATGGAGCACCCACTCATGCTCCCAACAGCCATGCCCATGCTGTCAACCCTACTGAGTTGACGTGTGTTGGACCGACTACTGCTATTCTGGAAGCTAAAGTGTGCGCCAGTGCTCGTGCTGTCACTTGTAAGTGCATGTGCTGTACAATTGGGAAGTATACTCTGATACCCTGCACTTGCACCCAGCCCATGCAGAGTCGTGTGGCCTGTGGGAAGCCCGGTCAGCCCTGGAAGGCTGGGTATGGGAAGGCTGGGTATGGGAGTGCTGCTGCTTCTGTAGGGACCGCCGTTGCCCGTATAAGCATCTCGCTGCTGCTGCTGCTGCTGCTGCTGCTGCTGCTGCTGCTGCTGCTGCTGCTGCTGCTGCTGCTGCTGCTGCTGCTGCTGCTGCTGCTGCTGCTGCTGCTGCTGCTGCTGCTGCTGCTGCTGCTGCTGCTGCTGCTGCTGCTGCTGCTGCTGCTGATGATGATGATGATGATGATGATGATGCTGCCGCTGGTGCTGATGATGATACGGCTCCAGCTGCTGCTGTTGATGTGACTCTGACTGAGGATGCTGGGAAGAAAGCAGAAGGGAGTAACGTGGTTCATCAGCTGCATTCGGCTTGTCACATGCTGTGCTCGGCTTCACTTCCCAGTCATTGCAAGTTGGCCAACAATCTCTGCCACAGTCAGCCACGGCATCATTACCAGCTGGCTCCACCGAACCACTCAACGTACCAGCAACAGGGTTACAGCTACAGGTGGTAACCCCAGGGTTAGTGGTGGTTACTTGGGCAATCGCCAGTGTCAATGGGGTTGACACAGCAGAGACGAATGCCGGTGAGCTGCCAGTATTAAGGATGGGTTGACAAGTCCAGCTGTACTCAACTGGCTCGCTTTCCCCGGTGAGTTGGTGAGAGGTGGGCGTTGCAGCAATGTAACCACATGCTATGGTGCCTACACTTTGGGGCACCGCAGTTTGATTATTGCAAGGGAGCAGGTTAGCAGTAGGGCCTGCAACAAGGGGTTCACACTTGGGTATGCCGGTGGTGGTGACGCCGGTGGTGGTGACGCCGGTGGTGGTTACGCCAGTGGTGGTTACGCCAGTGGTGGTTATGCCAGTGGTGGTTATGCCAGTGGTGGTTAGATTCTCCTGGGGACGAAGGTTTTCCGTGTAGAGGAGAATTGAGGGCGCTTGAGGCTGTTGCTGTTGCTGGTCTTGATGCCGCTGTTGCTGTTGCTGGTCTTGATGCCGCTGCTGATGTTGCTGGTCTTGATGCCGCTGCTGATGTTGCTGCTGATGTTGCTGCTGCTGCTGCGGCGGCGGCGGAAGCGGCGGCTGTTGCTGCAGAGGTTGCTGATGCTGATTCTGCGGATGCTGTTGTTGCTGCTGTTGATAATGGTACTCCTGGTGTTTCTTCTGTTCTGGTTGTGGCTGCCCCTGCCACTGCTCTGCACTGGGCTGCGGCTGCTGATACTGGAGAAACTGCTGCTGCTGTTGCCCCTGCTGGCAAAGCCTGAGCTCCTGGAAACCCGTGCAGTTGGCATCATGACTCTGCTGGCTCCCGACCGTTGAGGCTGTTGGGTCAATAAGCATGGGGCGAGCTTGATCCGTTTGATCTGTTCGATCTGTTTGAGTATACATTGCGTCGTCGACTCCAATGTATGAAGGCTGGGGAGCGTTTGGCGCATCACAGGCCAAGCGGGTGCATGAAGGTTGTAGCAACGAAGGGAAAGGGGATGGAGGAGGTGGCGCGGTGTGACTAGAAGGGTGACACTGCAAGAAAATATTCTTAAGAGGCAAGTAAGGGGCGTCAAAAGGCTGTGTGTGAGCAGCTGAAGATGGGACAGCTTCGATGCAAGGACTGGGTAGAGGGGTGGTTGGTCCATATGCCACATGAGCTGCAAGCAACTGAGGATGGCTCATTGCAGGAAGACAGGCCGAGGTGGAAGGGGACAGAGAGGCAGCAGCTGGAACACCGGTTGCAACAGCAGCAAGAGGAGCGCTGGTCGTAACGGGTGCAGAGGATGTGAGAGGAGCACAGGATGTAGCCCGAGCGCTTGGCGATGCAGCAAGTGCTCGTGGTGATGTAGCAGGAGGGAAAGATGCTGCAGCTGATGAGCGGCTCAAAGGAGGAGTGAAGGATACAGCAGGAAGGGGAAGTGCAGCAGGAGCAGGAGCACAGGTCGTAGCAGCAGCAGAACAGGTGCAGGCTGTGGCAGCGCAGGCTGTAGCAGACGCGCAGACTGCAGCAGAAAATGATGCAGGAACGGGGGTCCATGCTGTAGCAGCAGGAGCAGGAGCAACCAAAGCGAGGGCTGGACCGGAAGGGCAGGCCGCAACAGCAGGGCTGGGGGAAATGGAGCGAAAGGGCCGGGTTGTAGAAGAATCAAGGGATGGCGGTGGGTGGTTGTGCGAGCCGTGGTATACTGTCCTCACCACCACACGCATCTCAGTCCTTGGCATCTCCACACTGCCTGTCTCCTCCTCAGCAGCTGCAACCGCCTCTCTGGAATTCAATGTTCTGGTACTAGCAGGGCCGGCTCTGAATGTGGCCTTTGAGTTGGTTGTGGTCCCAACGCCTTGATTCCTCTGCAATGCACCAGTTGCGCCTTGATGCCTCTGCAATGCACCAGTTGCGCCTTGATGCCTGTGTGAGGGAATGCTGGTTGAGCGGCGGTGCCGGGCCTCTCCAGCCACGCGGTCTTCCGTCTTCTTCGCCGTGCAGCCTGTCGCTTGCTTGGACGCGCACACGAAGTACAGCCTGCAGGGACCAAAGGGGTGAAGTAGGAGCAGAATGTGCTCAGTGCAAGTATTGGCAAGGCCATGACATGCAGCTACCTATGACATGCAGGAATCTATGTCATGCCGCAGGATCCATGACACGCCATGATGCTTGGAAGGGGATCACTGGTCATGTGAAAGGCCGACAGATCTGGGGGAGGCTCAGAAAGGAGCTAGAACATGATGGGATCTGTCCCACATTCGTTGTAAAATATCATCTTGTCAGTCTAAGAGGCAGCGTTGCTACCATACTAGCAACGATAAAATGATTATCAGTCCCACGGCGCGTGATAAAATGCGGGTCCAATGAGAACTAGTACACGGTGCGGCTTTGATTCACCTTTTCATCTGCTGACCCACGATGCGCTTGTGAGAAGTCTTTCTCCATTTGTAGCCCTCATGGTGCCGTTGCAGCTGCAGTTGCTGGGCCGCTGCCGCCTCAGGCTGTTGCGGCGGCGGCATGTCGGTCCGACTCGGAACCATGCAATCCTGGTTCAAGCCATTGATGTTGCCGATCGTCGCCGGCGTTGGTGAACGTCTTAACTCTACTACTTCAACAGCCGGCGAAGACCTAGTAGCGGCATCACCGTGATGCTGACATTCATGTGCAAACTCTGAACCGGATCCTGCAGCCGGCGAAGACCTAAATGCAGGTTGCGGCGGCGCAGAATGCTCGCAGTAGTATTGCTGCTGCTCACATTGTTGCTGCTGTTCAACAGTAAGCTGCTCGTGCATCCGAGGACTAAAACTACTAGTAAGTTGGATGCTCGCACGCGGCATTGGTGCGTCGGAACTCGAAACGTCGGTTCTCATGGCGGCGACGTCACGTGTATGTGGCACATCTAGTAGTAAACAGAGAAAACTACTTTTAACCGACTCGTTGGATCTGTTTCTAATCTTGCCAAAATTGGGGGGGGGGGGGGGGGGGGGGGGGGGGGGCGGGGGGGAAGAGTACCATGCTTTGACTGAGTAATGCAACGCGGCGCGCGCATCGTCGAGCACGCGGAGTCACGACTCACAATCAAGTTTGAGTCAAACAATCAACGTCGGCGACTTTCAACGGATTGGGAAGAGGGGTGCTGAAACGTGAAGCAGAAACCAGAATGGTTACAGTTGGGATGGACTGGAGTCTGGGCTGGCTTGGGATGGAGAATGGGTTCGGAGATCATGGTGGGGAGAGAAGTGAGATGGGTCTCTGGAAGGGTCGGTGGGAGATTTGGGGTGGCGGAGTGGGGGTTTGCTGGGGGAAGAAGAAGGGGGAGAGGGGGTTTCGCAATTCTCAACTCCCCCCCAGCCAGCAACGCAGTTGGTGCTTGTGCTTGGAAATTTGAAGGTCGGATCTTAGCGCCGTGCAGAACCAGATAGCGATCTCCGAGGGCAAGGGGGAAGGATGGAGGGGAGCGAGAATGGAGAATGTGTATACAGTGGCATTGCCTAAATCAGGGTGGCATCACTGGCATGGCATGTCTGATATGATTCTTGCCCACATTTGTGACAATCAGGGTGTTTTTCTTCGGACATCCTGAAAAAAAGCCTGCTCTTTTGAATCTCTCACGGTCTAAATTATGTTTCAGTGTAACGTCAATTGTTAGGCTGGCAGAATATCGTGTCAATGAAAACTCAAGGGCTAAGAGCTGAGATATATTAACAATCAACATAAAACGACAAAAACTTTTTATATTTTCACAAATCAAACTGCAGCAGAAACAGACACCTTACAAGATCCCCATATTCGTGTAAATATTTTTTTCCAACCCATAGGGTGCCTGTCGCATTCTACTCGAGACCCCCACACGGAGCACTTTTCACCCGCAACCCCCTTACCGCCCTAGTCAGGTAACCGTTATTATTTATACTGCGAATTTTGATTAACGTGCCTGGAGGAATCCTGCAATCTCTCAAGTCTGCCTCTTTGCGCACCTCATATGCAGGGTAAATAGGGTCACAGCTCTATTCAATATGGGGGTACATATTTCGGTAACGACAAGATAAGATATTCGAATGTGTTGTGAGGTGGACAACTGGCGATACAAATGTTCTCTGATTAAGGCACCTGACATTCAAAGACCCTGATACTGATAACAACATTTACTCACATTTTCATATTGCTCGTCAATGTGCACCCTTACTGGCTTTGTTTTCAACTATTTCGAATGCAATTTCAATTATGCGATGTTCGCCAGCGAGCATTGCGGATGTCGCGTCACGGTTTCAAGGGAGGGCCGTGACTGTGGAAAGCAGCGCCATGTCGACAGCATCGAATTTTGAAGTGCATGGTAACCAAGCGCACTCATGCCAAACGACAATTCCAGCTCACTCCACAAGATGTGTAAAAGGCTTTGAAGGGACAACGATTCATCTTGTGTTGTGTGCCGTACGTAGGTAATGGAGCATCTGTAAAGTAGTGGACGAAACCACGAGGTTGGGAAGGCTTGTGAAGAAGCCACGGGGAACGAAGACACCTTGTGCCGCTATCGTCATCATAGGACGTTGAATACAGACACCACCATGACAAGCTAGACGTTGACGGAAAGAGGTCAACGGTCAGCAGTGACCTCGTTCTGTCATACTGTGCAGACAATAGAGACAGACAGACAGTCAACAAGTTTCTACCTTACACAACGCTAATCTAGAACATGCTGTAATTATATGCCTAGCATTAGGCCAAAAATATGTCAACGGCTTCATTACACGTACATTACACTTATATGCCAACCACATCAGCTAGTGGGCACAACTGTATTGCCACAGTGTCGCGTCGAGTGTAGTTCGCAGAGTGTCAGGGCAGCACTGAAACAAATACTGTAAAGCCTGTATTGACGAGATGCCATCTATTACAGAAATGAACAGCTGACAAGTGCAGGCTTGATGTCGAACTTCCGACAACTGTGGTTTGCGACTGCTGCTTGGCCTCAGGCTTGGTGGAGAATGATTTCCGGCATTACGCCAACTCGGCTTCCGACAACGATCCTTGTTTGCGATGAATGTTTCGTCGCCTAACGACGCAACGAAGCGAAAGCGAGGTAAAAACGAAAAGGTTACGTAATCAGCTTTGAATAACCACTGTAGATGCGACGCCTTGACCGCGTCTGATTGGTGGCTGGGGATCAGGGCGGCAAAACTGCGGATGGTGCATTATCAGGGGTGCCGTTGGGTCGTACACCTGATGCTCGTTAGAGCCCCTCCCGGTTGCCTTGTGCTCTGGGACTATAAGCTAAACATCATTTCGCCAGAGGTTCGTTCGTTTCGTCACGCGTATCCCGTGCCTCTAACCCGCATATGGTTACCTCACCTTTTGTTTGTTTTGTAACAGGGGGGGGTTGCCATGCTTGTCTCTCTCGTGTGTTCAATGTTACTACACGACCCCTACAGTAATGAATCAGGCGTGCACATCAATTGTTCCTCGAGGTGAGAAACAACTAACACACAACATAGACATCCAATCAACAACTCCCACCTGGCCCCCCATAGCAACACAACACACTAAACGAAACACACTGAAATGGGCACAATGTTTTATCACTGGGGCCCTGCAAAATTCACTCGACACTTTGCTCTGGCTGCTCCACCCCCTCTCACAGACGCATCCATTCCGCTGCATCCACATAGCCGTCCATCACGGCGCCCACCCCGGCATCAAGCAGCTGCTGACGGCGGGACTGGCGGGTCATCCAGTCGGGCAGCACACGGCCCCGCGGACGAGGTGTCTCGGGAGTGGGGGTTGCGCCGGGGGAGGGTACGGGCTGCGGTGCCACGTTGAGATTGAATCCCGGGCTCGCCCGCTCCATCCGCGCGATTATGATTGGATTGCGGATGTCGAAAAGAGCGCACAGATCGCGCGGAGTGATGCGGGTGGCCCGGGCGTAGCCGATGAGCATCTCGCACGCCGCACGAGCAGTGCGGCGCGCTTCACGGCACACGGGGTCGGCGTCGTCGTAAACGGCCTGCATGGTCGTCGGCGCCTGCCAGAGCTCCACCTCCGAGCGCATCTCCTCCTCTGTCACGGGCGGGTGTGCCGTGCCTTCCGCACACGTGGGCTCCGCGTCGTCGATGGCGACGTATTCCGCCGCCGTCATTGCCGCATTCCCGAGGTCGAGCGTGTTAATAAGCGTCCCGACATCATCGATGTCATCGTCGAGTTCGATGTCGGGATAAGCTGCGGGGATGGGCTCGTCGTCATGCACGTGCGGCAGCTCCAGTGACCACGAGAGGGGAAGACACCCCGTGCGCCACCAACATCGTTGAATGGTGCGCGCGCCGACGGAGGTCCACGACTCCGACAGCCACTCGAGCACATCTCGCAGATTCGGCCGGAATCGAGCGACCGCGGAAGTCGCTCCGTCGGCGTTCCATAAACCCGAGAAGGCCCGCAGCCAATGCTGGCGGTAGCGGGCCTTCGCGGTGGCGATTATGCCCTGGTCAAGCGGCTGAGTGAATGCCGTGGTATTGGGCGGCAGGAAGACAAGCCGCACGTGGCTCATGCACGTGGTCCTGACGCCGCACACGATCTCGCTCCATGCATCTACGGCGCGCAGCATGTGGCTGCTCGCGTTGTCCAGCAGCACCACTATTTTGCGACCCTCGGCAAACATCGCCGCGTTGAGATGAGTAATGAAATGCGTGAATAACTGTTGGACGGGATGGCATGGAAAAATGGGACACGGTCGGCATCATCGTGAGAACAAACACATGACAAAATTGCGAACAATGGCAATGAGAGTCAAAAAGGTGCACATTCCACGCAAATATGCTTACAGGCGAGGTCATCCAGCCTTTGGCGTTATGGCGCCAGTAGCATAGCGCCTCAGGGTCATAGTCGGGCCGGAAGTCATGCGGCCTCTTCGCCTTGCTTATCACAAGCGGCCGGAATGCATGGCTACCGTCCGCATTCACGAGGAATGCGACGGTCAATCGCTCCTTCGAGACCTTGCGGCCTGGTATGCGGCCGCTGCTGTACGTGCGCCGCGGAAGCACCGACAGCCAGAGAGCAGTCTCGTCGAGGTTGAAGGTGTCCCGCGGGGCGACGCCGAGCTGCGTGAGGAGTCGCGGCATCTTCTCACGGGCGTCGCGCACGGCCGCCATATCTGCGCTGGCGGCCTCGCCCTGTGCCGCACGGCATCTCACGCCCTGGCGCCGCAATGCACGGCGCACCCAGCCGATCGAGCATCGGAAGGTGGGCGGAATGCCCATGTTCCTGGCCATCGCCGCGACATGGTCGCGGATGGTTTGGAGTGTGAGGGGCACACCGGCGGGTCCTGCGTTTGCTATCCACCGCCCCATGGCCTGCTCCAGCTCTGGCCAGGCGCCTGCCCGACGGCGCACCGGGTTGGCGCCGTCGGACGTCACATCCCATCGCTCGGCGGTTTTTAGGATGCGGCCGATCGTAGAGCGATCCGGGCGCAACCCGTACTGGGAGAAACACCATCGAGCTAGGTCGACATGGCGCAGGACGGGGTGTTCGAGGTGGTGCGCGCAAATGGCGCGCTTGATGTGGAGCGGCAGCTGTTCCCGTCGATTAAATCGCGGCATTGTGTCAGGATGAGGTGAGTGAACTAACTGTCTTAGTGAAATTGTTGTTAACATTTTATCCTCACTTCGAATTCACCTGGGACAAGGTTGGGGTCTGTTCTTTGGGGCTTGGAACTGTACGTGTGGTTGGAGTTCGTTCCATGCACCTGGCTTGCACATTTGACGTTGGGGGTTGGTAACCTTACGTTCAATTGTCTGACGTGGTGTATGAGAACAATGCCTGGCTACAATAACGCTTGTACCCCGCACAGGCAGATTACACGTGGGATCGTGAATTTGCCCACGATGTCTGTTACACGCACAATGATCCGTGCCTAGGTGGCGGGGTGGATTGGCGATTGCGTTCACGAGGCCTCGTTCGTTTCGTCCACTCACTTTCGCAGTGCAGGCTCCTGGCCTGGAAACGGGGCACAGCAGGGTTGGCGTTGGTTGTTCGGAACTGCACGTGATAAACTGTCCGAGTCGCGCGCACTGTTTCCTGCCACCCCGGGTGCTTGTACTGTGGGAGCAGCAAGCGGGGGTTTCATGCTCGGGGGCAGCGTTTCCATCCAGTGCATGGCAATTTCGCGTGCATGGGGTGAGCATCAGCTGTACACCCTGTTTTTCGATGTTTGAACAATCGGGAGCCCGGCTACAGCGCGCACGTGTGCTTGGATTCAGCGGGCTGGTGCTTGCAACCGAAATGCACTTCAGGAGAACGGTAGACAACGGTTTATGAAACAAAACGTGCTTTTGAGTTCGGTTTCGTGCGGCAAAAGTGCTTCTACGGTATGTTCAAGGACCAATTTGGACGCATTGATGTCGGTACAACCGGCTTGTCAATATGGCGAGTGTCAGTGTGGCGCGAAACAGGTTGTATGGGACCCCGAGCACGCCCAACTGGGTTTTTAGTTGAGCCCGCATTGTTACACCCTCTTTCGCGCCACACGGTCATTTGCCATATTGACGGACCGGCTGTACTGACATCAATGCGTCCATAATGGTCCCAAAACATACCATATAAGCACAAATGCCGCACTCAACCGTACGCAAAAGCAAGTTTTCTTCCATAAAACGTTGTATACCGTTCCTCCGGAGTGGATTTGCCCGCCACCTACCTGGGGTTCGGTTACAAGCACCAGATCGCTAAGGTCCAAGCAACAGTACGCACTGTAGCCAGTGCTTCCCATTGTTAGTGTGGCGAGAGAGAGAGGGTGTACTATAACTAAACGCCAAAAGCGCAAAACTGTCGCTTCTGGCGCACAGTTACTGCCCAGTTTTCGATCACAGCGCAAAGTTAAGTTTTGATTGGTCAATATGTCAACGAACCCACAAGACCGTTTCGATTGACGGCTAAGGAACTGTTTGCACATGAATTTTTGGCACACAGAAATATATTACCCTCTCCGATGGCATGCTGTTTAGGGAGCATCAACCCTAAACACTATGTTGAAACAACCGAAAGGTTATATAAAGCATCCCCGAAGCTACTCCATTGTACCAGTTGAGAAGAAACGAGAACGAATGAACTATGAATGAACTGAGTACAAGTACTAACCCTAATTGGGTTGTATCCCTTATGGGCCACCCCACTATAGCCTACACAATAAGCACAAGCTATATGTTATGACACACCCCCATAGGAAAAGTGGGGGAGAACAAGGGGTCACAAGACCAGTCAAGCAAAGCAAAGCAAAGCAAGTTCAGGGTGGATCACAAAGTCACCACACATTCTGAGCACAAGTTCAAGGCCACAAGGCCAGTTCACATGTAGGAGTACATATATATAAAGGACTAGACAAGCAAGAGCAGGTGTATATATATACAACAGTACAAGCAAGGTCAAGAGGTGAGCAAGTGAGGCAAGACAGGCACAAGACCCAGCTGCGTGCAGAAGCGCTAATGATCACAAGGCGCAAGTGCCTTGGTGAAGACATCAGCAGTGTTGGCCTCAGAGGCCACGTACGCAAGCCGCAACTGACCACGCTGCTGTAGCTCACGAGCAAGGAAGTAGCGAAGAGCAATGTGCTTTGTTATGTGCTCCAGTCTCTGCTCTCAACACAAGGCCAGCATGGCCTTGTTGTCTACGTACAGGACTGGAGGAGAACGAGGCGACTCTCCAAGGTCGGTCAGCAGGTAGTGTCGAAAATAGTAGCTTGATAGGTAGGTAAAAAGTAGGACGGCCTAGGCTTAGTAGCCTAGGCCAACTAGATCGAGTAGTTCGTGCCAAGGTTTTGAGAGTCGAGTGAGTTGGAAGAGGAGTTGGGAGAAATGTGGTTTCACTATAGATTTCGAAGTACATATAGCAAAGGAAACAAATGAAGAGGTGCACCACCTACAAATTTAATAACTACACTACAGCTAGAACTACATGCAGTTATAATAAACATAATTCTGACAGGTAGGTGAGCCAGCGAAGCTCCTGTGCAGCCATGGCCCCGGCGGAGATCTCAGCCTCACAACTGGAGCCGAGAACAGAAGACGAGCGAGTAGCCCGCCACGAAACAGAGCCGGAACCAAGGCTGAAGGTGTAACCCTGTGACGACCGCTGCGTAGCCTGGTCGTCAGCCCAAGAAGCGTCCGCGTGCCCAGTGAGGACCACTGGACTCCGCCCTCCAAGCACTAGCCCCATGCCCGACGTACTGCACAAGTAGTGCAACACCCTCTTCGCTGCAGCCATGTGCTCTGTTCGGTGTCTCCCAGGAGCAACATAGCGTGCGAGAATGCTAAGAGGGTATGCAAGGTCAGGTCGTGTGCAGGTCATCAATTACATGAGGCAGCCAACAAGCTCTGCATACGGGCCACTCGACTCTACGGACTCATCCGAAGGCAGAGCTGAGAGCGAGTGGCGAGTAGGCAGAGGAGTGGCCTGAGGCGAGGAGTACGTGAAGTCGAAGTGCTGAAGGACCTGCTGCACCATGTGTGACTGAGTCAGGGTAATGGTGCGGCGTGCTCTGTCCCGGGTGATCTGCAAGCCAAGGTAGCTGCGCAGTTCACCCAGGTCTGTGCATGTGTGTCTCTTCTGCAGCTCGGACTTCACGTAGGCGAGTCCAGCAGTGTGAGCTGTGGCAAAGACCAAGTCGTCGACGTGCACGAGGATGTAGAACGGCGGCAGAGAAGTGTCGGTGCGCAGAAACAGCGACGTGTCGGCAGTAGAAGGAGCAAACCCAAGAGCCGCAAGCGTAGTCCTCAGTGTGTCGTGCCACTCACGTGGCGCCTGGCGTAGACCGTAGACTGGACGCCGGAGACTCCACTGGGTACCAAGAGGGAAAGACCCAGTGAAGCCAGGTGGGCGGCGCAGCCAGATCTCCTCGTGTAGGCTGCCCTGCAAGAAAGCTGTGCTGAAGTCGAGAGAGTGGAGCTCGTAGTTACGGTGAGCAGCAATGTGCAGCAGCACCCGAAGAGTGGTCATCTTCGGGGTGGGGGAGAAGGTCTGAAAGTAGTCAACTCCCTGCCGCTGACTAAAGCCACGAGCCACGTAACGCGCCTTGAAGACAGGCGGAGAACCCGGCGGCCGCTTCACCCTGAAAATCCACATGCCACTGACGATGTTCGCCCCAGGCGGGGGAACCTCGTCAACGTAGGTGCCTGTGGACTTCCAGGAAGCCATCTCTGCATCCATAGCTGCCTGCCACTGAGAGGAGTAGGGACCCTCTATCGCCTCCGCGTAAGAGCGCGGAGTCGGGATGTCAAGTGCATCCGGGTCTCCCTCAGGGGTAAGCAGTACGGACACGAGATGAGGTGAAGCAGCGGCCAAGCACTGGAACTCCTCCTGCCTGTCCTCAAGGACGTCCGTGCCAAGGGCACACTCACCCCCGACGGACGGAGGACAGACAGACTCAGACTCAGCGACAAGACTGGCAGCGTAGTCTAGACGACAGCGAGCAGCAAAGTCGACGAGCTCAGCAACAAGAGCAGACGCAGCAGTGGACTCAAAGGAGGGGTCAGTGACGACAGTAGCAAGGAGACGCGTGACAGTAGGACTGGCAGCACGAAGAGAGTCCGACTCAGGGTCGGCAAGCACAGGAAGAGAGGACTCAGGAGGAGAGGGCAAAGGGGCACGCAGAGGAGCAGTGGACGGACGCAGGGACATCCGGTGCGTGCCAGGGACAGGAGGAGGACGCTGACGCGAACTGCGACCACTAGTGCGAGCAGCACGAACAGGCGACGCAGGACGAGACGCAGCCTCACGACGCTTAGCAAGACCTCCAGTAGGACCAGTGTACGGAGAAGGAGAAGGCAGTGGGGAGACCGGTGGTAATTGTGACTGCGACAGGACAGGGTGTGGACACTCTAAGGGAGGAGGAAGACCAAGAACCTGCTGAAGGAGCGGAACAAAGTACGGCCGAGGCCGCGCAGCGACTCCAGACACAGCAGGGACAGCACCAGCGTCAACAGCACCTCCAGCTCCAGTACCTCCAGCAGCACCAGTAGCACCCGCAGCAGGACCGTCGCCAGGACTGACAGCAGTAGCCTCAGCGCCAACACCCTCAGCAGCTCCGACTCCAGCAGCACTCGCAGGACTAGCACCTCCGAGACCGGCGGCACCAGCACCCTCAGCAGCCGAAGAAGCACCAGCACCAGCTCCAGTAGTACTGACCTCGTAGAGCCGCCTCGTTCTCCTCCAGTGCTGTACGTAGACAACAAGGCCATGCTAGCCTTGTGTCGGGAGCAGCGCCTGGAGCACAGAACGAAGCACATTGCTCTCGGCTACTTTCTTGCTCGTGAGTTGCAGCAGCGTGGTCAGTTGCGACTTGCGTACGTGGCCTCTGAGGCCAACACTGCTGATGTCCTCACCAAGGCACTTGCGCCTTGTGATCATCAGCGCTTCTGTACTCAGCTTGGTCTTGTGCCTGTCTTGCCTCACTTGCTCACCTCTTGACCTTGCTTGTACTGTTACATATATATACACCTGCTCTTGCTTGTCTAGCTTTCTATATACATGTACTCATGCATGTGAACTGGCCTTGTGGCCTTGAACTTGTGCTCGGAATGTGTGGTGACTTTGTGATCCACCCTGA